ATCATTATTCTCATTGTTCCTTTATTTTGCCAGCTTTGGGGCATTTTCAGGATCAAGAGGGCATCCATTACTGGGGGTCAGCTTGCTGCTCTACACCTTCCTCACTACACAAGATGCTTTGAAGGGCCGCACCATAACCAAGGAGGAAAGGAGAAAGTTGTTTTGGTGGGGCAGGATAAGAATACGTGTGGTTTGGTGGGCAAACGGGAGGAAAGAGAAGGAGAGCCAGGCCTCCGTAACACCCACAGCACGGCAGGGGCGATGCCTCCTTGCCTTCGGGTGGCCAGGGCTGAGGGCTGGAGGGGGAACCACCATCTGTGACCCGCAGCGAGCCATGGGAGGCTGGGGGAAGGCAGGGCTCAGGGCAGTGTAACTTCCCTGCTTCTTTAAAGGCAAAAAGATGGGGGAGGTGGAAAAGACCAACCTGCTGCTGTGCAGTATTTCCAGCACTAAGTATCTTCTCTGATGCTTTATGCAGTTTAATTCAGTATCTGTGACTATTTCCCTTCCCCTTGAGGTCTCTTTGGCTGCAGGTCCCATAGGGGAGCAACAGTCTCAGTTTTCAGGCAGCGTTTGCCTTTAGCTTAATTATTCCCAGATAGCCCTGCAGCGTTGCCGGCGCAGAAACCAGGCGGACGAAGACCTGCCCTGCTGTAAAGGAAACCTTGCTGCAGACCGGTCCTTGCTGCCTGCCCCAAGCTGGAGGGAGGCAGCTCCCAGGAGGAACAGCAGGAAAATAAAGTGTCGGCCATGCAGTTTGTCACACGCTTTTATTCCATTGGGGAGGGCTTTGACACTCTTGGCAATAAAGTCCTTCATACCCATGGAAAGTATCTGGCTTAATGCTGATTGCTTCGGGACTAAACAGCACAAAACATAAGCCAGAGGAAATAAATAACTGGTTTCTCTCTGGTCCAGCCCTGGCCTGTTTGTTGTCTTCTTTTTCTCGGTTTCTGCAGCAAATCGTGGGCATAGCAGAGGTGAAAACAGGCAGGACGGTGCACAGAGAAGGACACAAAGGAGGGGAGAGGGGACCCCCATGCACCACGGATGCCAGCCACCTGAGAGGGGCAGTGGCAGACCCAGCCTTTCATTTTTACCAGGCTGGTGGTTTTCCCTCTTCCCTTTTGACTCAGTGGGCAAAAATGGGTTTGGAGGAGGTGCGATGGCAGAGCAGCCTGCGCCGGTGCTGACCGTGGGGACCAGACTCCCCTTCCCACAGGGACAGTTTAACCTGTCCCTGGCTGCTCTGAGCCCCTCAGCTCCCCTACAGACGTTTTTATTGCTGCCCTGTGGCTCAGCTGAGGTCTGTTCACGGTGCAGTCCCAGCTACGAGGGAGTCGTGGTGAGGAAGCAGGTTTCCAAGCTGGCACTTGGAGATATGGCTCTTGTGCCGGAGGGCAGGGGACATGGGCCATGAAGCCGAGGGGGGCACATCAGACATGCAGCCCAGCCCCGCAGCATTTTCCTTTAGCAGCCCCAAATCACCAAGGCACAAAAATACATGGGATTTACCTGTTTCAAGCTGTGCTTTGAGCCTTCGCTTGCCAGGGTGAGTGTAATTTTGGGCACCCGCTCACTGCATTTCCAGGCCCAGCGAGACTCTTCAGCTAGGGTACTCGCCTCACAATCTTTGGTTTTGGGCTGAATGGAGGGACTCTCGACTTGTCCTCTGGCTGAAACAGAGCCAGAAAGCTCCTGCAGCTTGCCTGGTTTTGGTGTGGAAGATAATGGTGACACGACTGCAATCTGGTGCATGAGACATCCCAGAAAGACCCAGGATATTTGCGGATGCTCTGACCCATTCCTTCCTCAGCCAAAACCCTTAGAGCTAAAAATTTACTTTCATCCCCAGAGAATTACCAGCAGAGCATCACTCAGTCAAACCAGCCCACTGCGCTCTCAGTTTCCAGAAATTGGGAATGGAGGAGAAAACTTCCGCTGACAATTTGTCAAGCTGGACATGGAGGAGAGGCTGAGCGACACGAGCCAGAGCTGGCACCCTGGGAGCACGCTGGGTATGTGGGTCATGTCGATACTGGCAGGCCCAGGTGACGGCACGGGATGCACAGATATGTGCACGCGGGGTGGTGGCACTGGCTGACATCCCCTGGGACATGCAGGAGTGGAGCACACAGGACCCTGCTGTGTCCAGAGCACTCACAGGCAGCACCACTGCACCTACTGCATCCAAAGGGTGCATGTTGGGGTCGGAGGAGAGGAGAGGCTCTTGATGAAGCCTCCTGCCACAGGTTCAGAGCTCCCCTGAGCCTGCTTGTACACACTGTGCATTGCACCAGGCTGCCAGGGAGGGAGAAGATGTGAATGTCCCTCTTAGCCCCAGCACCACGCCTTCATGTGGCACTTTGGTGGCCAGTCAGGCCCGGGGCAGTGCAGAAAGTGCAGATGGTCTATAAGCATGGGATTTTTGTGCCAGATCCACATTACACAGCTTGGGTCCAGAAGGTAGAGGTGGTGCAACAGGCCCATTTCGCCGATAAGCTTGGTGTCCCTTCTCAGAGACATGCACGGAAAGGGGGTCGAGGGATGCTTCACAGCTTTCACTGGGATGACAGTTTAGGGAGCGCCCATCCATGCCAGAGGACCCTGCAGTGCGGGGGACTGAACAAGTGTAAGCTACCTGCCAGTCTAACCCATCTCACTCCACGGCAGGGGACCAGAAGGTCAGGCAGATCGGGAGAAGCTTATGTGATAGGACTGGCAGCACCCCTTCATGGAGAGCTGCAGAATATTCTCAGCTTAACACAGGACTTGGACAAACCT